GTTTTTCCATATCCCTAAGAAATGTTGATGGGATCTGGATTGGGATTGCACTGAATGTATAGATTGAGAATAGCCAAGTTTTAAAAGTGGATTTGCCTGAACAATTTCATGGTCATAGTACTATTATTAATGCTAAGGACAGTTATACTTGTTATTTATATTGGTACTTTACTCCTTACAGCATGCTTTCAAACTTTGTTTCTCTCATAACTTATAACTCCCAGAGGAGGGAGGCAGGGCAGAAATTCTTATTATCCACACTTTCCTGCTGAGGAAATTGATTCTCCAGTTGTCTATAGTCATAGAGCTAGAAAATAAATGGCAGGTTCAACATTCAATTCTGGCTCTGATTCCAAATTCTATGCTGTTTTCAATTTAAATTATTCTTTCTTTTCCTTTCACATCTTCTGTGAGGGGTTTTATGACTGACCAGCATTTCACATTTAAGATCATAAAAGCTTTTGCTTTCAGTATTCAAACTTTACTGTGTTGCAGAAGTAAGAAAACAATCACATATTACCCACATAAGGCATTTTTTTATACTTTTGTCTTGCTAGTGTGTTTGGGGTATGGATATGGGTTGAGGAGAATGATCACTTAATAGTGATTGATCCTCATTTTTATTTTGGTTGCAAGGATAGAATGACATTTAATATCCCCTTGATATTGTTGTCATTTTTCCATGATAACTTTTTTTTAAGTTACTACAGTAATTATATATAACGAAACATTTGCCATTTCAACCTTTTTTTATATATTCAGTTCAGTGATATTAATTATAGTCATCACCTACAACTATCACCACTATCCATTTCCATATTTTCCCATCATCCTTAACAGTTGCTCATTGCTCCCTAAGCTACGACGCCCCCCTTTCCCCTTTCCTCCCACCCCTAGTAACCACTAATAAACTTTGGTCATTTGCCAATATAAATATTTATATTTCATGTAAGTGGGATCTTACAATATCTGGCCTTTTGTGACTAAGTGATTTCACTCATGTTTTCATGTTTCATCCATGTTGTAGCATGTATCAGGCATTCATGTCTCTCATGGCTGAATAATATTCCATTGTATGTATGTGCCATAGTTTGTTTATCCATTCATTTGTTGTTGAACGTGTAGGTTGATTCCATCTTTTAGCTATTGTGAACAGTGCTGCAGTGAACATTGATGTACACATATCTGTACATATATGTGTTTGTGTTTTCAATTCTTTTGAGTATATACCTAGGATTGGAATTGCTGGATAACATTCCATCCATCTGAGCTTTTAATGAGCAACTATTGTTGACCACATCACCATTGCATTAAATTGCTTTCTGATAGCACTAAAGGTGAAATTTGAGGCAGTCACGTTTTCCCTGGGTGGTACAAATGGTTAATGCACTTGGCTGCTAATTATAAGGTTGTAGGTCCAAGTCTATCAATCCACCTCTGTGCTTGGTGATCTATTTCCAAAAAATCAGCAGTTGAAAGCCCTAGAGAGCATAGTTCTACTCTGACACACATGGGGTGGATAAGAGTTGGAATTGACTTGGTGACAGCTATTTATTTTGGTTTTATGAAAGTCTTGGAATTTATTTCTAATGCTTATGAGATGGACGTTCTTATGAGTGATAGGTCCAGTGGTTAAGTTGATAAAACAATTAGAAATTCCCATTGAATCTGATGATTTTCTGAATTTCCCAGAAATGTTTGCTATGTCTTTTCTGCTTTTATCAGTGATTGGTCTTTATTCCATCTCTTTACTCTATCACTTATTCATTCATTCACTCATTCATTCATTTAATGAGTATTTTAATGATTGCCTGCCTACTAATATGCCAGGTGCTGTTATTGGTGTGTTGTGACTACTGACATTACACTGTTACTATTTCTGTTATGTTATGTATGTATGTATGTATATATGTATTTTTTGGTTAGGAGAAACAAACGAAACAAAACGTCTTACTTTTTCCTTCCTAGAAAGTACCTTTTGCCGGATGGTACACTATTTTTACTTTGTATCTGTTCTTCTTCAGAGACAGCCTCAAATGAATCAGATCAAATGTTAGAAGAATTGGAAGCTCTGTCTGTTGAACTTAAGCATTACATTCAGGAAGATAACTGGAAGTTTGAACAGGAAGTAGAGGAGTGGGAGGAAGAACAGTCTTGCAAAATCCCGCAAATGGAATCCTCCACCAGCTCATCCTCACAGGATTTCTCTGTATCACCAGGTACCTGAGAAGAACATGTATACTAGTGATCTACAAACATTCCTCCTGTGTTCCCTAAACGAGCCCTGCCTACTACTTCAGCTGACTAGCTAATGCCTTATTCTTAGTGATATAGTTCAGATAAAGTCAGTATTGTATAAGCTGATGGAACAACTTGGAGTTTTACAGTTTGGCTTCTGATGAGCAGAAGTTACGTCGGAAAGACAAGCTACTTGTACTTTCACTATGTATATTATTTTCACTATGCTTAGGCAATCCTACTTCTGTAGTGATACTGCCTCGGAAACCCAAGGAGGGGTTGCTATGAGTCAGGGCTGACTCGAGGGCACATAACAACAACAACAACATGCTTATTACGAGGTTGTAGGAGAAACTGTAATGATTAATAGGTAGACTTTATGAATACAGGTAGTCCACGAGTTATGACTGCGTTACATTACTGCCTTTTATTATCCAAAAAAAACAACCTCACTGCCATCGAGTTGATTCTGACTCATAGTGACCCCTTTGGGTTTCTGAGGTGGTAAATCTTTACAGAAGTAGATTGCCCAGTATTTCTTCCACACAGTGGTTGGTGGGTTTGAACCACCAACCTTCTGGGTAGCAGTCAAATGCCTTAGGCACTACGCCACCAGAGCTCCTTTCATTTATTATCAGTATCTTTATAAATCATAACATGATGATACGTGCAAGTAAACATCTAAGATCAATAATATGAGAAAATCACACATTGCAATATTGTATGTAGTACATATTACTAACAATAAGATGTACCAAAAATAGAACAAAAATGAGACAATTGTTAAGTGTAGATAGTCATAATGTGAATACGTTGTTAAGTCAAAGGCAACCTGTACTGTTCTCCAAAGGTGATCCTTTGTTGATAGAAAGACTTCTTGGCATAAAGGAAATATGAAATTGGGGGTCATATTAAATTTTATGAAGTCAATAAGTTCTTACTGAAGTAGTTATTTCTCCTAGTCATTAGTTTCTAGGAGTAATATGGTTGTTTTGTGTTTTTTTGTTTCCTTTAAGGTTTTCTGGAAGGGTTTTATATTGAACAGTATTTATCTTGCTCGTCTTTTACCAGAGTGTGCTAGAGTTTCTTTTTTATCATTGGATGCTAATACCTTTTAACCATTCTTCGTCAGAGTCTTCAGTAGCCTCTTCTCATGGGGCTCGCTGTTTGTCATCTGAGCATGCTGTGATTGCCAAGGAACAGACTGCCCAGGCTATTGCAAACACAGCACGAGCCTACAAGGAGAGTGGTGTAGAAGCAGCACTGAGTGAGGTGAGGGTGCCTGGGAAGTGCACGTTGAAGAGGCTTAAGCTTTCAGCAGGAATCGCCACAGTTTTCTCACATTCTATTATTCTGTATCTCTGCTACATTTAACCAACCCCTCTTCGTTTCTCCTTTTTTCCTTACTCTCTCTCTCTATTCTGCTGCCACAGCTTCAGGAAGCTGAACCCAAGAAGCCCATGCCCCAGGAAACAAACCTTGCAGAGCAGTCAGAACAGCCCCCAAAGGCTAATGAAGCCGAGTCTGCTGCCCAGCCTAACTCTGAGGTCTCTGAAGTCGAGATTCCCAGTGTGGGAAGGATTCTGGTTAGAACTGATGCAGATGGATATGATGAGGAGGTACAGAGACAAGTGCAGGGTGTAGCTGTTTGTTCTCAGTCTGTATTTCCTTTTCAGGTGGTTGAACATGCTTTTTTAAGGTGTCTGGCAATAGTTAATATTTCCCCATTGAAACAAACAGTGGACAAAATTCCTGTCTTGTTTTGACCTTGGTTACGATTCTTTAAAATATGGCCTTGATCCCAGTAGATATCTATCTAAGAATATACTTACAGTAGCCACTGCAGAGCCTGGTTGGTTCAGAGAATTTAGTTCATTTTTAAAGATTTACAAACAAAAAATTGTTCTAAGTTAGGAATCTGTGTTTTTGGTGATTGTAGTCCATTGTTTTTCCTCCTAATATAAAGTATTTTTCATTTTTTCAGTGAGCAAAAGAAATGTGAATCCAAGTTGTTGTTTTTAGTTCTGAAGCTTTAGCAAGCAGCTGTAGAATTTTAAGGTGTGTAGTGTCTGTCTCCTTTTCAGTCATCACTGCACATAAACAAGGAGTCATGCCCCTCAGATTTCTATTTCTTCCTACGGAATATTGGGGTATTTTTAAATCATTGAAAGGTTTTGATTTCATTTTATAAAGTCATTTATATAGCCTCTAGTTTCCAGATTGCTGAAAAGGTACTATTCATCTTAATAAAACTCTCAAATGTTTGGTTATTTAGGATATACACCCAACAGAGAGTACTATATTAGAATTCTCACCTCAGACAACTTCCCCTCTGAGAGCTATAACTTAATTGATTCTTTAGCAATGCCGTATTGGAATTATTTTTAGACACACATCTTTATTCATCCTGCTAAATTAGAGAGGATATATAGGGATAGCTTGTTATGGGCAAGGTCTTAACTTTATGAAATGCATATAGAGAGGAATGTGTATATGAAACTGACTTGCAGTAGAGACTAATCAAGGAACACAGCTATACATCCCATCAGCAATCTGTTCACCTCGCTTTCATAGTGTTCTTTTGAACCTTTCTTCTGTCCTTTCTCTCTCTCGTTTCGTTCCTTCCTATGGTAGGTGATGCTGAGCCCTGCCATGCAAGGGGTCATCCTGGCCATAGCTAAAGCCCGCCAGACCTTTGACCGGGATGGGTCTGAAGCAGGGCTTATCAAGGTATCACTGTTTTTCAAATTCTAGTCCTTATAACACAGGTATCATAACACTAGGGCAGTAATTCTATAAGGTGGGAAAAATAGGATTAAAGTTGAAGTGAAACAAAAAATTGACTTTCTCTCTTTCCTGACCAACTAATGAGCAAGCTATCCCATAATACTGAGTGCTCCTCTTCTCCTTGCACTGAGGCAGCCTTGGCTAGCAGTGCCATTCTGTTTTACATCTAGTGGGGAAGAAATACTATTAATAAAACTCTGAATGAGATGTGTCCTTTGTAGTCTTGAGGCCATAATATAAGGAAATAGGCCAGACTTTTTAAAGTACTTGGATAAAGTTGTGTTTATGTAGATATTTAAAATTCAGGTCAGTGAGACTCAAAGATATACCTGAAACAATTAAATCTAAGTGTTTTTTTTTTCCTAAGAACCTTATAAGGAAAATGAATTTCTTAATGAGTACAGTGTATCTGTTTTGCCAGAATGCTAGAGGAGCTTCATCTTCAGTGACATGCAAACAACTTAAAGATCCGTAATTGTTTTGTGATTGCTCAGGGCTTATTCCTTAGAGGTCTCAGGGCCATGAGAACTTAACATCCTTGGGCATCGGTATCTATGTGTAAAAGCCCTTAGTGGACCCTTCTCTAACTATCAGTTCTGTCTTTAATAGGCATTCCATGAAGAATACTCCAGGCTCTATCAGTTAGCCAAGGAGACCCCCACCTCTCACAGTGATCCTCGACTTCAGCATGTCCTTGTCTACTTTTTCCAAAATGAAGCCCCCAAAAGGGTAGTAGAGCGGACTCTTTTGGAACAATTTGCAGATAAAAATCTTAGCTATGATGAAAGGTGAGCAGGGAATCCCCAGGTGATTCAGCCGTCCTTGTGGCCTGGCTACACTACCTCTTCTCTCTGATGGGGAGGCTTTGCACTACACTCTATAATTTTTCTGAAATTTGCCTCCATAGATCAATTCGTATTATGAAGGTGGCTCAAGCTAAACTGAAGGAAATTGGTCCAGATGACATGAATATGGAAGAGTACAAGGTGAAGTCTTCTTTAAATCTCCGCATAGTTTACAAGCATAAACATTAATTCCTGAGGCACATAGTACCTGAGATAAGACTATTAAATTTGTATTACCACAGACTAACTTGTTTTTATTGTAAAATTGCCCTCTCCCCCACCCAAAAAAAAGTGGAAGGAATGGACAGTCTTTTCATAAGCTCAGAATAACAGGCTTCTTTATTTCCATTCTATTAGAAGAAATTAATATTTCATTCTCCATGAATACTCAGCTCTGGTGGCGTAGTGCCTAAGGCATCTGACTGCTAACCAGAAGTCTGGTGGTTCAAACCCACCAGGCACTCCCCAGAAGGAAGGTTCAGCAATCTCCTTCTGTAGTGCTACCGACTCAGAAACCCAAGGAGGGGTCGCTATGAGTCAGACCTGACTCGGTGGCAGTGGGTTTAGGCATTAAGATGGGAGCTCTGGGGGTGAAGTGCCTAAGGCACTTGACTGCTAACCAAAAGGCTGACGGTTCAAACCCACCAGCCACTCCTTGGAAGGAAGGTTGGGCAATCTACTTCTGTACAGATACCGCCACGGAAACCCAAGGAAGGGTTGCTGTGAGTCAGATTTGATTCGACAGCAGTGAGTTTGGTTTTTTGAGAGGCATTAAGATTCTTGAAGTCATAGTTTTGGATTGCTTTAAATATTATAGTTTGATAATATGCATTGAAATACATATATAACTATAAATTTTCAAAGAATCATTGCATTCTACTAAAACTATATTATGTACATGCTGTAGATACCGTGTAGTAATGCCAAGGAGCCCTAGTGGTGCAGCAGTTAAGGCATTCAGCTCTTAACTAAATGGTAGGCAGTTTGAACCCACCAGCTGCTCCATGGGAAAAAGATGTAGCAGTCTGCTTCCGTAAAGATTTACAGCCTTGGAAACCCTGTGAGGCAATTCTTCTCTGCCCTCTAGGCTTGATAGGAGTCTGTGACAATGGGTACAGATATGGTATGCCTGGCACACTTCCTGTTGTGTGTGTCTCGGAACTGCCTTTTCCTCCATCTTACTATTTGATGGTTTTGGCACAACTTGAGAGGTCATTCCTTTAAGCCAGAGCTGAGTGCCTTTGACTTGGAAATTAAGCACGTATGATAGAAATATTTCTCTGTCTGTAGAAAGAACAAGACATCTAAATTAAGATCAGAGGTAGACTTTTATTCTAAATTGTGGATAGATTTTTATCTGAAAGCTTTTGCCTTTGGTATTTTATGTGCTCAATAAATATTTTTGTTGAATTGAAAACTTAACTGCAGTGGAAGGTATAGAAATAGTTTATCATGGTCACAGTTGTTAATGGTGGTTATTTCTTTTCAGAAGTGGCATGAAGATTATAGTTTGTTTCGAAAGGTGTCTGTGTATCTCCTAACAGGCCTGGAACTCTATCAAAAAGGAAAGTATGTTGGTTTTTTATTTCACTGAGATTATTGGTCTGTTCTTCCCAGTGCTTCTCTTCGGTTCTGCTCTAAACACCACACAGGAATTTTCCCTGTAATAATAGGTTTATTATCATAGAGGTATGCCATGCTAGGCTTTCTTTGTGATAAAAGAAGATGAACTCAGTGAATTTTAGAGTTGGCATGGACCTCAGTCAGCACCTAGTCCATTTGTTTGTTTTTGAGATGAGAAAAACAGAACTAGAGAGGTTTCATGATTTAACTTGGTTTCTCTGCCAATTTGTAGCAGAACAGAGGCTGGCTGTAGTCTTTGGCCCTTAGGCTTTTTCCAGTGTACCTTGCTCTTTCCATTTTTAAGACTTTTCTATGGTTGCAGCCAAGTAGATTCTTATATTGGTGTACAGTGGAGTTTGAACCCTAGATTTTGAGGAAAAAGAGCTCAGCTGTTGTTTCTCTTCCATTTTCTAAGGTATCAAGAGGCACTTTCGTACCTGGTGTATGCTTACCAAAGCAATGCAGCTCTGCTAACGAAGGGGCCCCGCCGAGGAGTGAAGGAGTCTGTAATTGCTCTGTACCGAAGAAAATGCCTCCTGGTTTGTACTGTTTGTAAAGCCTTAAGATTTTTTTTTTCTTTTATTGTATTTCCCTCTGTTTCTTGAAGCCATGAAGAGATATAACTTAAAAAACAAAATAATTATTTCCAACAGGTTTTAGATTTCTTCCAAACTCTCAAGAGTAGTTTTACCATAGAAACATATTCTTTTAAGTTACTTTACGTGAATATCATTCTTCATTTTCTGATAGAAGGTGGAATGTGAATCAGTCACCCCATTCTATCTCCCTTTTGTATGTGCCTGTATTATAGCATTTATCCTGTTGCTTCCCTGCTGATTGTGAGTTCCTTGAATACAGATTCATTGTCTTATTCAACTTTGTCCTCAGTGCTTGGCATGCAGTAAGCTTGCAAATAAATGTGTGCTGAGGGAATGCAATGTTTTTCAATGTGTTTTATGCTAAGCTAGTTGCCAGAGAGGCAAGGAGGCAACATCTTCTGACTCCTTTAACCCACAAGAGGAAGACAGAATCACCATCAGTAGCCCAAGGCCTATTCCTGTGAGGCCAGACATGCTGCCTCCCTCCAACCCTTTCACCAACCATTCTTCCCACAGCACCCACCACCTCTCTGCTGGGTTCAGTAATTGACTGCAGTGGCCACATAGAACTCATAGATTATGGGGTTTATTAGGGAAGCAGCAGGGTATATAACAACAACAGGCTACAATTCAAGTTCAGACATGCACTCAGTCTCTTGCAGCTGGCCATCTCACTCAGCAGCCAGCAGTCTCAGTAGCATATTACTCTCTCAGCAGTGCATGTCTCTCACATCTCTCAGGAGCATGTCTTCCTCAGCCAGCAGTCAGAGAGACTCCTCCTGCTTGTAGGAGGGCTCCTTTTGAGCCTGGCAGAGTGGCCCAAACCAACCAGTCCCAACATCAGAGTCCTACATGCCTGAGAGAGAGAGCGAACTAACCAGAAAATTACTTCATGCTGCTCCCAACAAAAATACCCCAGGTAGATAACTTTAACAATCAGCAGCTACTCAGTTGTTCACAGCAAATTCCACCACAGAGTCTGTAAAGACTTATGGCTAGAAAAGCCACAGTATGTAATTTACTACACTGCACTAGTAGATGAGAATTTTAGTGACTTCTGAGACACTCCAATTTTTTAAAAAAGGTATGAATGAACCATAAGAATTGGTCCTGGTGTTCTTTTTCTATCCTTATCCTATATCTATCCTGACCTGTTTTGCTTTTGGCAGCCATGTGGAAAGGCTGAGCCAGATCCCCTCTACCTACCCAAGAGTTTATACAAGTGCTTGTCTTCAGAGAACTGTGTAGAGGTGACCTGCCTTCAGACTGTGTGCTTGTGTGTCTTTTTCCTAATACTCAGCAGATTTACTCTTTGTGAGAGAAGTTAGGCCAGCATTTCTATTGCCTTGGTCTTGGTAACACAAAGGAAGGAGATTGAGTCATGACATAGATTCATCTCAAGAACTTTGTTTCTTATTTGTATGTTGATTTGTCTCAATAGGTGTGCAGGATCTCCTAGAAGTTGAAGAAAGCTTTCCTGTAGATTTGTTGTTGTTATTGTTATGTGCCATCGAGTCAACCTGACTCATAGCGACCCCTCTTTGGCTTTCTGAGACAGTATCACTACGGAAGTAGATTGCCCAACCTTCCTTCCAAGGAGTGGCTGGTGGGTTTGAACCACCACCCTTCTGGTTAGCAGTCAAGTGCCTTAGGCATTACGCTATCAGAGCTCCTTCCTATAGATTTAATGAATCTAATTTTTATTAGAGCCATGTTTTTGTTTTTTACCAAACACATGTTTACATCTTCAGTGCCCCACTCAGCTTCCACAGTAATAGAGTAATAGAGATTTAAATTCTTTTAATTGCTGCATCTAAATCACCCAGGGGCTTTTATTCAGTAGTAATAGGCCCCTCCCCACACAATTAAACCAGAATCTCTGGGAAGAGCCTGGGCATCAGTATTTCCTCTGTAGGTGATTCTGATATTAAATTAGTCTTTTGGTAGAAATAGGTATTAAACATGACCTTGACTTTAAGTAATGGCTTTGACCAGCAGGTCTAAGCCTTTGCTGCTTTCAGATCACCTTGAGGGCTTTTAAAAGTACCAATACCCAGGTCAACCCCGGAGCAATTAAATCAGCATGTCTAGCAGCCACTCCTCGGAAGGAAGGTTGGGCACTCTACTTCCATAGTGATACTGCCTTGGAAACTCAAGGTGGAGTCACTATGAGTTGGGTCTGACTCCACGGCACATAACAACAACGACAACAGGGATGGGAACTAGACATCTGTTTTGAAGGATCCCTGGATAATTCCAAAGTGCAGTAAAATTAGAGAACCACTTGTTTAGGCTCTTTTTAAATAAGTATTTATCTTATTCAGACATTTTTTTCCCCTGATTTTTTTTTTTGTTGTTGTGAGAATATACATAGCAAAACATACACCAGTTCAACAGTTTCTGCTTGTACAATTCAGTGACATTGATTTCATTCTTTGAGTTGTGCAGCCATTCTCACCCTCCTTTTCTCAGTTCTACCTCCTTCATTCCCATAAACTCAGTGCCCCCGAGATACTTATTTAATCTTTCAAGTTGATGTTGTCAGTTTGTTCCCATATAGGTGGTTGTTGTTGTTGTTGTTATGTGCCGTCGAGTTGGCCCTGACTCATGGCGACCCCTCCTTGGGTTTCCGAGGCAGTATCACTACGGAAGTAGGATTGCCCAACCTTCCTATAGCTTTTTAAAAATCATAATGCTTAAGACAGACTTTTTTTTTTTTTTTTTACTAGCTAAGCTAAAGTATTCTTTGGTTTTAAGAAGACTTCAGAGGATATTTTTGATTTGTGGATTAAATATTATCTCAGGGCAGTAGTTTCAGAGGTTCCTCTACCTTCCATGGCTCCAGAAAGTCTAGAGTACATAAAATTTTGAAATTGTGTTCTTGTTCAGACATTCCCCTCCCCACTCTGCCTTATCTGTAGGAGCTGAATGCCAAAGCAGCTTCTCTCTTCGAAACAAATGATGATCACTCTGTAACAGAGGGCATTAATGTTATGAATGAGTTGATCATTCCCTGCATTCACCTTATCATTAATAATGACATCTCCAAGGATGACCTGGATGCCATTGAGGTCATGAGAAACCATTGGTGCTCTTACCTTGGGCAAGATATTGCAGGTATGTTGTTAGCACTTCTAATAATTCAAGGCTTTTGAGAATTCTAGATAATACAGTGACTCTCATTCCTTAACACTGGTTGCCAAACCTTTTTTGAGGCATTGGAAACCCACAATATGTGAGTTAGAAGTAGATCTATTGTTGAAATAATAGAGCATGAACCACTGTCCCTGTTAGCTTCCCTTTACCTCTGTTGCTGCTGAAGCATCTCCATAGATGATCAGCAAACTCTATTGGAAAAAATCACTGCTCTCCACGAATGTCAAACTTTTATTTTTCATCTGCCAAAATCTGAACTTTCTTAATAGTTTAAAAATTCAAAATCTCCTTATGCAGTTTGATTACCTAATGATGTCATAATTGAATTTTCCTGTGACTTCAAGTCCAAGTGCTTGTTTTTATAGTACTTATTGAAAAATTCTCTAGTAACAAGTAGTTACTTAGTTACTTTTAATGTCTTCAGTTTTAATTTAGATCATGTGTGACCACAGCATTACTTTATGCCATGTGGACACACTAGTTTATTTTGATCACTTGAAAGAAAACAACACTATTATATTTATGGTATAGAGTATCATACCTATTTTCTCCAAATTAAAAGGATGATTGATTAGAAGACCTGTCTATAAGGACAGTGTTATTCTGCCACACCTAAGCAGTGACCCTCAGGCTTTGGTATATTTGTCAAGTAGGTCTTTGTTCTTGGTTTGGCTTGAAACAACCCCACTGCCCTGGAGTTGATTCCAACTCACAGCGATCCTATGGTACAGTGTAGAACTGCTCCATAGTGTTTCCAAGACTGTAAATCTCTATGTAAGCAGACTGCCTCATCTTTCTCTAGAGCAGCTAGTAAGTTCTAACCACCAGCCTTTTTGGTTAGCAGCCCAATGTTTTAACCACAGCACCACCAGAACTCCTTTGGTTTGGCTTGAAGGAATTATTATTTCATGCTAACTGGCCTGCATAATGCTTTGACTTTTGAGGTTGGGTCATAGGCTGTTTTGAGTGTCTTCTGGGATAGTTGCAGGCTTACTATTTTTCACAAGAAGATCTTTTTAGTTGTAGATGTAACCATCTGCTTTCCCTCCACAGAAAATCTACAGCTATGCTTAGGGGAGTTTCTGCCAAGGCTTCTTGATCCCTCTGCAGAGATAATTGTCTTGAAGGAGCCTCCGACTATTCGACCCAATTCCCCCTATGACCTCTGTAGCCGATTTGCAGCTGTCATGGAGTCGATTCAAGGGGTGTCAACTGTGACGGTGAAATAAACCCCCTATGTATTCAAGGCCCATCCTGGTCTCTGGTTGCCTTCTCGTTGCACAGAATTTCGTTGTCATAGTGTTCACCTTGGGAAAGGGAGTAGCTGGACAAGCAAGATTCTGATCGAGACCCCAGCCATGCTGTATATACCCACTGCCATTGAGTGATTCCGACTCCTAGCAACCCTATAGGACAGAGTAGAACTGCCTCATAGGGTTTCCAAGGCTGTAAATCTTTATGGGGAAGCAGACTGCCTCATCTTTCTCCTGTGGAGTGGCTGGTGTGTGTTCAAACTGCCAACCTTTTGTTTGGCAGCCACATGCTTTAACCACTGTGCCACCAGAGTTCCTGTGTGTATATAGATGAATTAAAAGTAAAATTGCACTTTTTGGAACAGAATTGTACAAACTATTTTGCTAGAAAAGGCAGGAACCAGTCTATTGAGTGTATTGAATTATGTCAGAAGACCTGAAATGCCTTTTGTACCTAGAAGAATGTTTGGGCATTTATTAAGTCTTGTGCCACTTTTTAAATTATCATTCAGGTCTAAGTATTTTTGACAGCCAAACAGAAAAGGGATTCATCAGAACCTGAATCAGATGAACAGCTACTAGTTATTTTATCAAATACTAATACTATTTAAAAACTTAACTGCAGGAGAGTAGAAATACAAACTTGCCTGACTCTTGACAGGAGATGACAAAATGGATTGTTGATGAATGCCACCTTTTTACAAATGGGTGGAAAATAATGTCCACATGCCAGTAAGATGCTGGAAAGTCAAGAGAATACTGCCTCTCCTTACTTTGTCTTTCTCATTCTTTCTTCTCTTTTATTTTACATTTTAACATAAACCAGAAAACCTCATACTCAGTCCTGAATGGAAGAAAAGAAAGCATTAAGGACTTTATACAGAATAGCATCATGGAACTTGACGCAAGATAGTGTTTTGATAGTTGATAACCATTTAGGTAAATTTTTCCAGCATCTGAAAACTGTCAGAAATAGATGTCTAAGGCTGCTGCTGGCCCCAAAGAATATTTGACCTTTTCTCCCCTTTAAAAAAATATGAGATGTGAATTTGTAGAAAGGGAAAAATATATATATATATGTGTGTAAATGTAGAGAGAGAAATATCCCCTGTTGACCATTTTTAAAAGCCTCCTGATTGGGTACTGTGTTTTAACCAAATTTTATGGATTAAGGGAGGAATGGTGGGAGGGAAGAACACTTGATGTAACTATGCAGATTTTATAAATGTGCAATAAAGTCATTTGTTTTACCTTTGGTATGCCATATGATCTTTATTTCCTAACATGTTTTTACTGTTTTGAAATGGCTGGACTCACTAATTATGTCTCTTTTTTCTGTTTTTCTCCTTTATAAAACAAAAAGCAAATGAAAGATTTGAGAAGCTTGATGGGTATGTATAAACCAAAAACCAAACTCACGGCCATGGAGTCGGATCCAACTCAGAGAAGCTCCTCCTTGGGTTTCCAAGGTGATATCATTACAGAAGTAGATTGCCCAATCTTCCTTACAAGGAGTGGTTGGTGGGTTTGAACCGCCAGCCTTCTGGTTAGCAGTCAAATGCCTTAGGCAGTATGTTACCAGAGCTCCTAATGGGCATGTATAGGTGTCTGGATTTGGAATAAGAGCAAGGAAACACTCAATTCTAGAGCAGCACCTAGTAGTAATTTTTCCATCTCATTTGCTAGTTGTATAGCATGTGAGTATCTCCACTTTATAACTTGTCAAATTTTACAATGTAAAAAGTTATTTTCCTAAACCTGCATTTCTTATGTTTTTATTAAATTGATAGTAGACCATCTTTTATAAATATACAAAGATGCTTTTTGTTTGAAAGCTCACTGCATTTGTTTTGTGAGAATTTGATCAGTTTTCTCATTGATTACATTTTACCTTATAAAATTCTATGTTATCATTTGCCTTACATTTCATAGTGTTTGCCATTATTTAGTACTATGTACATTGCTTCGGTTGTATTCTTTCATTTGATATAACAGCCCTGGGATCATGATGGAAGACTGGTTTCTCCAAGTTCATAGACCTCATAAGTAGTAGAACCAGGATATGTCTAACTTCAAAGCCTGTGCCTTTAACAACAGCACAACCATATTAGAAAATACTTTGCATTGTACCTTTTTCACATTAGTTCTTCTCGGATAAGCTATTAGGAACCCTTAGGGATCTATGCTTGGACCAGGAAATGATCCTAAGGAAATCTGTAGTGTATAGTGATGTTTATGTCATTTGAGTCCACTCACACTACTAGTGGGAGTGCTGAGAACTAATTTCTTTTTTCCTCACCTTAGCTGCCTTTAAGGAGCCCAGGTGGTAAAGTGGATAAGTGCTCAGCTGCCAACCTAAATGTTGCCTGTTTGAACCCACCAGATACTCTGTGGTAAAAAGATGTAACAATTTGCTTCTGTAAAGATTAAGACCCACCTTGATCCGACTCATAGCAACCACTCCTTGGGTTTCCGAGGCAGTATCTCTATGGCAGTAGATTGCCTAGAGTCTTCCTTCTGAGGAGTGGCTGGTGGGTTTGAACTGCCAGCCTTCTGCTTAGCAGTCAGATGCCTTAGGCACTGTGCCACCAGAGCTCACACAACAAAAACAATAGCTACCTTTAGGTTCAGTCCTGGTACTTACTCTTCAGATTCCACTCTTCAGACCAAGAATGGGTTTTAGATTTTTAAAGATTGTGAAGAAGGAAGAGGGAATGTAGAAGAGGAGGAGAAGCTTTATGTAATTATGTAAACTGACTCCTCCTGTTTATTTAAGTCTTAAATTTCTATATAAAGTCTTCCACATCTTCCATAAAATTTATTCCTGGGTTTTTGAAGCATTAGTTAAATTCCATTTTTATTTTGTGTTGCTGGCATATAGAAATAAATTGATATTTTTATGTCAACCCTGTAGCCATTGACCTTGTTAACCAAAAAAAAAAAAAAAACAAACAACTCACTGCCATCGAGTCAGATCAGACACATGGCAACCCCTCCTTGGGTTTCTGAGGCAGTATTACTACAGAAGTAGATTGCCCAATCTTCCTTCCGAGAAGTGGCTGGCGGGTTTGAACCGCCAGCCTTCTGGTTAGCAGTCAGATAGATGCGTTAGGCACTATGCCACCAGAGCTCCCATTGACTTTCTTAAATTCACTTATTAATTCTTAAGTTTATCTGAATACTCTTTCAGATTTTCTACATACCCAATTAGGTTACCTGTGAATGATGACTGTTTTAGTTCTTTATTTCCAGTTCTTACAACTTTTGTGTCTTTTTCTTGCCTAATCCCATTCAAATGCCTTAGGTACTATGCCACCAGAGCTCACACAACAAACACAGTAGCTACCTTTAGATTCAGTCCTGGTACTTACACCACAGACTCCATTCTTCAGACCAAGAATGAGTTTTAGATTTCAGCCACAGGGATCCAGGTGAGGGGAGGGAACTCAGGCCATGACCCAAAGCGGCAAGGTGGGAAAGCGGAGGAAAGGAGAGAAAAAGGCAGGGGACCAGGACAGAGTGAAGAGACAGCAGCAGGGGTCCAGGTAAGGGGAGGGTGGAGAGGTTTCAAATAGCTAAGGGAGACAAACTTGTCTGTCAGTTTGTCCTACTGTGGTGATGTGTTGCTATGAGTCTTGAGGCTGTGCCACCGGTGTTTCAAACCCAGCGGGGTGCACATGGTGCACTGGTTTCAGTGCGGCTTGCAGACGGAGACAGACTAGGAAGAAGGAAGATGCCATCCACTTAAATAATTGGCCAGGGAAAACCTTATTAATAGCAGAGAAACACTGTCTGATACACTCTGTGCAATTTTATGAATAGTCCGGAAGCATTATCCAATGCAGACGAGGAGGATGAGTCACTTAGTTTAGAAGGTTCTCAAAATAGGACTGGGGAATAGCTGCATCATCAGAGTAAAACCAGCCTTACTGATATGGATAAGGTAAAGCTTTTGAGACCCCCAATTCCTGACATGGCATGACTCAAATTGAGGAGAAACAGCTGCAAACATCCATTAATAATCAGAACATGGAATGTATGAAGTATGAATCTAGGAAAATTGGAAGTTGTC